CTGGGCCATCTGCATTTAGGGTTAATACAAAAGCAATACGTTAGTATTCACAACTGCATTATTATACAAATACAAGGAACTTCTATTACATAGCAAGCAATTATTTAGTTTGAACTGTGCTGTAGTGTGCAGGGATGATGCAATGGATTCAAATAGGAGGCGAAAATGTGTTTTAATATTTTATAAACCCATGCGTGAACAAAAAGACAACAGAAGAAACTGATAATTATCCAAAGTCTTTGCAACTAGATCTTGTTTGGTAAATACAAACCCATGCATGAATAAAATAAGACTAAACAAGGTAAGATCAGTAAATTAACTCGGACAATTATCTAAACTCTGTTTGCCACTAGATTTCGTTTTTAAATATACTGAGCAGGTTAGTGACTCACAGTAGATGGTGAGGGCTACTGGAGCACTGGTGCCCTCACTGACAGGATTAGATACACGGCACCTGAATGGTCCCTGGTCGTAGCGGGTCACATTAATGATAGTTAAAGTGGATCCTTCATCAGTGATCTGAACTCTGTCACTTCCTGTAACCTCAGAGCTGCTGTTCAGCCAGAGGAAAGAGAGAGAGGATCCAGAGGAGGAGCAGGACAGACTGACGGAGCTGCTGAACTCCACCAGCTCTGTGCTGCTGGAGGTTACCATTACATTGGAGACTGGCTCTGTGGGTGAAACACAAAACATATTTTATAAAGTTACAATAGAAGAAAACACTGAAGTGGCTGGAGTCTCATCTTAAGAGGAGATATTGATTATTCGTGGTTCCACATTCAACGTTTTTTACAAGCTCCATCCATGAAAAAAAGCAACATTTCATACATTCATGATGGAGGTGCAAAGAAAAAAGAGCCCTATATCATTGTTTACTCAATCGCTACGCAAAATCTTCATTCAGTAGAGAAAGAGATGCAACTTGTGAAACTTTCTCACCGTATACTTTCAGTCTTGTGATCCCTGACTGTGGTCGTTCTCCAGGTATTAAAATGGTAACTGAGTATTCTCCAGTCATTTAGAGCCAGGTTCCTGAGCTCCAGAGATCCAGTAGACCTGAAGAAGGTGATCCTGCCTTCATACTCTGGTGAAGTGAGGTTACTCTCAAAGAATGTAAATATCTCTTTAGAACCAAATTTCCAGAGCACTATTTGAAATGATGTTCCTGGAGTCAGTGTTGTGGTGAACATCACTTTCCCTCCCACAGCTGCATTCAGACCGTCTGGCAACACACCAGCTCCTTCAGTTAAACCTGGAGAGAGACAGACAGAGGTCATTGGAAAATAAGCCCTGGGACAACAATCAATCAACATTTTGAATACTATGAACTTTTTATCACTTTTTGTATGCATATAAGTAATACAAAATTTGACACTGAAAAGTGCTGTATAGCAATTATTTGTTTTAGCAATTTACTTTTATCAGTCATGCGTTTGCTCAGCTATGTATGATGCTATCGTATCACACAAGAATGAAAAGCAGACCTCGAGATTATTAGCGTAACTCATTTTTAACAAGTTTTTAACAATTCATTGACGTTCAAAAAAATATAGAAAAATGGAAAGATAGCAGAAGATTGAAAAGATATATGAATTTTACCTATAAAAGACAGGGAGAGTATCCAAAGTAAAGCTAAAATATCCATTGATGTATCTCTGTGAGATATGAACAGCCACAGAAATGTCAGCCATCAAACTCTGACTGTCCTGATAAATGTGAGCCTCTTGCCGTTCTCAACATATCAGTGAATAAATGCAGAACTACCTACGTGTTGAGGTACAAAGTTTCTGCATAATGAGTCAAACCCACTGAAGCTGCAGACATGTCCTAAAGCTGCCAGACATCGCCCTCTAGTGGTGTAAATAAATATGTTTGCATATGGTATTAATATTATCACAGCAAAAGCAAGAGCAACATGACAGTCATGGCAAACTAATGAAGCCATGATTATTGCTCCCACCTAGAGACCAATATAAAAGTTAACTCCCGCAGAATATTTCCATTTGAGTGGTGCGACCACATAAAGCATCTTGTTTTAGATATTCATGGTGATTTAAAACAGAAAGCTTTACCAAGGTTACACATACAATAGTTCAGATTGGGTGGTTTAAGATGTAATTTAAGAAAAAAAATAAAAATGTAAATGTCTGAATTAACATCAGAAATGACAAGCCTTTAGTCTGGTGTGATAGATTTAGCTGTTATGGCCGTTTTGTTTTTATTTGTCTGTTTGTTTTTTATGTCTATTTACATTTAAGAATGTTGTATTGGAGAGGACTTTAAATCCTTGACATTCTTAAATGAAATACTTACTGTAGTGGGAACTATCACAGAAGCTGTTTTGAGTACTTTGCCAGATTTGTATATGTATGTTTTTTTTTAACTTTGAAACGTGTTGAGACCAAAATAAAAGTCGACTATGAACAAGTCCTTGATCAAAGCAAGAGGGGCAAAAAGCCACTTTACACCCGTGGGGAAATTTACCTGGTGTGATTCCACTGCACCATGTTCTCTGGTTGTCATTTTGTCAGTATAAACTTTTACTTCACCTTTATAATTAATTATTAAAGATCATTTCCAAAGCAGCTTGTTGCATATTCTGTAAATGATCAACGGTTCAGGTAAGTAACGTTTCAGAGGTATTCAAATGGGAAAACCCCACTGCACACTCCTTCCTTGTTTTACCTTCATATATGGAGATCAGCCTTCTTAAAGTGTGATCTCTTTTCTATGATCTGATGTTACTGCAGAAAAACATGGGAACAGCTGTGATACACTTCTTCATCCTGGGAGTCATCTCAGGTGAGCTCTTAGCATTTAATACTCTACAGCAGCTAAAAGTGTTTGGTCGTTTATTCAACAAAGTTTAACCTTTAATTATTGACAGTCAGTCAGTTTTCTCTCAGTTGAAAGCAGTTCCTCTGTCTTTGAAATCTAAATGTCTGGGGGAAGAAACATTTCTCACATAAGGGGTTTAAGCATTATTTTTGTAAGTCCAGATCTGTGGTTATTAAATTGAAGACCACTGGAACTTTATTCTGAGGTTTTGTTTTTTGCTCGCAGCAAAACTTAGGTTTTAGAAATACCTCAGAGCTAATTCTAAAATAATGAGTGTCTTCGTAGAGAACAGATATAACTTTTCCTGCTGCAGTATTGTTATTGATTTCTACAGTAGATCCTCTCTCTCTGTCTCTCTCCAGGTTTAACTGAAGGAGCTGGTGTGTTGCCAGACGGTCTGAATGCAGCTGTGGGAGGGAAAGTGATGTTCACCACAACACTGACTCCAGGAACATCATTTGGAGCAGTGACCTGGATATTTGGTGGAAGGAATGTATTTTCTTTCAGTGGTAGCAACTACACTGGACCAGAGTATGAAGGCAGGATCACCTTCTTCAGGTCTACTGGATCTCTGGAGCTCAGGAACCTGGCTCTAACTGACAGTGGAGGATACACAGTTACCATTTTAATACCTGGAGCACCGCCACAGCCAGGGACCACAAGACTGAATGTATACGGTGAGAAAGTTTCACATGTTGCATCTCTTTCTCTGCTGAATGAAGATGTTGTGTAGCGATTGAGCAAGTAAACAATGATATAGGGCTTTTTATTCTTTGCACAATCATCAACAAATAAAAAAGTCTCCTTTTTTGTGGAAGGAGCTTGTAAAAACGTTCAATGTTGAGCCATGAATGTTCATTATGTCATCTTAACATGAGATTCCCATCTGCTTCAGTGTTTATCTTATACTGTAACTTTATAAAATGTTTTATTTGTGTTTCACCCACAGAGCCAGTCTCCAATGTAATGGTAACCTCCAGCAGCACAGAGCTGGTGGAGTTCAGCAGCTCCGTCAGTCTGTCCTGCTCCTCCTCTGGATCCTCTCTCTCTTTCCTCTGGCTGAACAGCAGCTCTGAGGTTACAGGAAGTGACAGAGTTCAGATCACTGATGGAGGATCCACTTTAACTATAGTTAATGTGACCCGCTACGACCAGGGACCCTTCAGGTGCCGTGTATCTAATCCTGTCAGTGAGGGCACCAGTGCTCCAGTAACCCTCTCCATCTACTGTGAGTCACTTCTCCACTGAGTTGATGAACAATATACTTATTTTTAATGGTATTTCCATCAATTGTAATCAACAATATATTACATATGTATTACTTTGAGTTTGAAGATGTATTTGGTGTACATCTAACGTCTTGTACATTTCAGCAAATGCTAAATGTGTTCAAAAAGACAATGAATTCAGTATATATTAGGTATACTTTCTAGATTAGACAAATTGAACTTCATCATAATTAAAGTGTATCATAAAGAACTGACATTAATAATTACAGTCTGAAAAAACAGATTAGTTAAATCAATGCCAGTTTGACAAAACATTAACAAAAACTGAAATTAAAGTCCCCTCTATTGTGCATGGCATTTCTAAAATCCTTCAAATAAACATGTTTGGTCCTTGAACCATTGTCCTAAGATAATAAGCAAAAACAATTAGTTTTTTTTTTGTGGCAATATGCAGCCATGAATATTAATGATCTCATCTTGATCATGAGGTTTATTCCCAGCCACTGCAGTGTTATATTCTCCTGCACCTTTAAACATTTGTTTTGTTTTTCACCCACAGCACCAGTCTCCAATGTAATGGTAACCTCCAGCAGCACAGAGCTGGTGGAGTTCAGCTCCGTCAGTCTGTCCTGCTCCTCCTCTGGATCCTCTCTCTCTTTCCTCTGGCTGAACAGCAGCTCTGAGGTTACAGGAAGTGCCAGAGTTCAGATCACTGATGGAAACTCCACTTTAACTATAGTTAATGTGACCCGCTACGACCAGGGACCATTCAGCTGTCGTGTTTCTAATCCTGTCAGTGAGGGCACCAGTGCTCCACTAAACCTCACCATCTACTGTGAGTCACTAACCTGCATGCTCAGTACATTTACCAAACAAGTCCAAAGTTTTTTCACCGAGGGCCACATCCAGAAAAATATATGAAAGGCTGGTGAGGTGAGGTATATTGCCTCATATGCAAAGTTATAAGTTAGCAAAATCAATCAAATGTAGGTAAATTAAGCTTGATACTTAGAAATGCTGTAAGAAACATAAAAGCCTACATCACAGCTCTCCAGAGGGCTCCATGTATGTAGTCTGCAGCTCATGGCTTAAAACAGAAGCTTCAGATTGCTTATAAAAAAATGTGCTATGCAAATAAGTGATTGGGCTTTTTATATCAATTAAGATTAGTTTGAAAATGTTTCCAACTTTAATTGATTGAATTTATTTGAAAAGTGGGCACACATGAATACTGTGATATATATTTGTACGTATATATTTAATTATTACAATATATGACAAGCACAAGTTTAATTTGTGGGCCATATTTCATTATACTATTTGAATTAACTGAGGGCCGTTTCAAAATGGGTCGCATTTGGCCCCCGGGCCGTAGTTTGGACACCCCTGCTTTAGATATTTGGCAGTTTGTTTTGCTTTCTTTTTGTTCACTCATGGGATTATAAGATATT